AGGGTGTTGGAAGTGAGAGAAAGTGGGTCAGGTAGCAAGGGGAGAGGGCACAGCAGCTCCAGCAGCCTGATGCTGCCACAAGGCCTTGCTGCCTGCCTCAGGGACGGGTGAGCCTCCCTCCCTCCTGGCCCAAACGTGGTCACTCGCTGTTTGACATCCTGTTAGAGCACACTGGGCCTGTCAGAAATTGTATTTCAGGATGGATTTAGTCTGCAAGTTTTAGTATCTCTTCCTTCTTTTAGCTTCTGCTCCTTCTTCCTCTTCCTCCCCCCCCCCCAGGGGAAGGACGGTCACCTCACTTTTCCAGATACGCTTTCTTGATTGAATTTATCCTTAAGGTCTGCAGGCATTTAAGAAGAAATAACAACAAAAAAGGACACAAAAAAACTTTTATAAGAAATTCTGATGCTTCTCTGCTTTAGTTTTTATCTTGTACACAGATGTCTTCCCCCTTGCCCCTTCACTTAGGGGCACTGCTTGTTGAAATCTAAGAGGATTTCTCTTTGTGTTGCTTGCATCAGGGTCTCTCTGTGTTTTATAAGTACATAGCTAACTATCCAAGGATGTGTTTTTGCCCTGTGTAAGGAGAAATGATGCGTAACAGTGCTCTCCTCTAATCACAGACCATCATTAATAGAGAACTGTGCATTGAAATGAGCCTGGCTCGGTTGGCTTCCTGAGAGAAAAACGCCCCAGCCTGCAGGAGGTGGGGAACCTTTGGACTTGGTCGCTGCAGTGCCAGACTTTTAACATTTGCATCTAGGGCTTGGGATGTGATCAGGGTGTCTGTAGGGTTGTCTGTAGGGTTGGTTGGGCTCTACCAGCTGCTGGAGGAGGCAGCTCCTCTGTAACAGGCAGGAATTCAGCAGGGATGCAGCTCTGCCAGAAAGCATCCGAACAGCTGCTTCCACGTGTGCTCCCTGGAAATTTACTCTGCTTGAATTGTCTGCTTGATATATACAAATATATATATGCAAAATGCGTTAGCTCTGACCTGTTAGGGCTGCGTTAGCTGTTTTTGCTGATAGAAGAGTCCTTTTGAATACTTTCGATTGCTTCCTTGTTTTATGGTTTTCCAGGAGTTTGCAGTCTCAGTGCAAAAAAATCAAAACTATTTCATATGCTGGTATAAATTACCAATTATTCCACTGAATTTGGTAAAAAAGGATTATTACTGTAAAGCAGAAAGGGAAACCGATGGGGAAAAAAAAACCTTACTGGAGCATGTTATCTGCGTTATTTCATTTACAAAATCGTTTGCAGGAAGAGGAGGGGTTGACAGGAGAGATTTTAATATCTCAGTGGCTATTTTAAAGGGCTGTCAGGGAAGTGAATAGCAAGCAGCCTTGCATGTTTTAAAGCTCGTATTCTATACACATCTTGTGCTGGAATCGACAGGATGGTTTGGGAGGTTTTTCTTGAGAAGCAGCTGCTGAACTTAGCTGCATTGGTTGGGTCTCTTAGGACTACAACAATCTTCCATCTTGCACGACGGCTCTTGGCTCATGCAGTTTGCCCACTTGGGAGATAAGCCAGGCTTGCACACGTTTGCAGAAGGTCCATCCCTGTTGCGTGCTCATAAACAGTGGTGCGTGGGCTTAAATGGCTTCTTTTTGAGTTCCCCTGCGTTGTGCATCCTTTGGATAACCTGAGCAGGACATGCTGTGAGGGTGGGGTCTTACACTTCTCAAGCATCACCAAAATTTAACAATTCTTTTTTGTAGATTCCCTAAATACGGATCCCATTTCCAGGGCAGCTGTATGTGCTTCAGATCAAATGTCCTCTAGTGTCTAGAACAAAACTTTAAGGATGAATTGGAGATGATCTGAGAAAATCTCTAATATTTCAACCTTTCTCTGCATTTGAATCCACCGTGATAACCTGCAGGCTGTCTGACTAAGCTATCAGCATGCAGGCGTTTGTATTCTCTCAGTTAAAACAATCTCATTTGCTTTGCTGTTGTTTTTAACACTACCCCAAGCCCTGGCCTCTGAAGCTTTTTGAAAATAACATTTACAATAATATTTTTAACAGTTCCGTAGTATACAAAACTCCAGCGCCCTGGCAGGACTCCCGGAAACTTGCTGAAAGTTAATGTGGTCAACTCTTAAAAAAAGGAGAGATTTTTTCCGCTTGACTCTTGCTTGTTAAACTCTCTGAGCCCAACATGTTGTTCCCTGCTGCTTGAAAAAACAAGGAAAGTCCCAATTTTAGCAACGCCGGTTTGAGTAGCTTTCCAGCTGAGCCACATTTCAGGGGCAACTGTGGCTTCTTCTTATTATTTTTTTTACAGTGCCGTGTCCCTCCACCTTCAAACCAACGTGGTAAGTGGTGCTCAGGCTGGGCTAAGTAGGTGCTGCTTTCCCTGGAAACTTGGGGAAGAGAAGCCACTTGTTCATGGTGTGGTAGTGATAAGACATCCCGGTTTTTGAGGCTGTGTTTTATATAGGATGCTGAGGCTCTGTGGGATAAGACCAGCACTTCTGGGGGTAGGTGATACCATAAATCCCATTTAAAATCAGGCAGGCTGCTGGTGACTGCAGCTCTCAGTGCTGGACTGAATTCATCCCTCTTTCCTTACCCCCATCCCAAATCTTTTCTCCCACTAACTGCCTTCCCATCACTTCTTTGTCTTCTCTTAAAGCCAGGTCAAAACTGCTCTTCTCCATCACCTCCTTTGCTGCTTTGCCCAGAGACCAGAGCTGGGAGGTGTGTTGCTGCTGCCTCTTGAACCCAGTCTTAGTTAATCCCTTCCCACCCAGAAGCAGGGGAGAAGGGGGAAAAAAAACACCTGGGATTCATTTTTAAAGGAGATTAATTGCATAAAGCTCTGGTGTGGATACTTCACTCGTGTAGCCTTAATGGTGTTGAGCCACTCGGGCTGCAGAAATGAATTCAGCTTGGTCAAATCCAAGCTGCTTTTATTCCAGATGAGCGTATCTGTCCCGGGGTTTCCTGCAGCTTGAGTAATCTCCGGCAGTTTCCTGAGCAGATCGGAGCAGAGCAGCTCAAGTCTCTTGCGTGCACGACACAAACCTGGAACATGAGCCCTGCGTCGCCCCTGCAGCCCTGGGAGCCGACGCTTCGCTCATCTCTCGCCCTCCTTGCTTGTGAGGAGGCCTTTGTGCATGGTGAGGCTACCAGGGCTGTAGTTTGGAGCTTCATGGTGGAGATTTACAGCAGGTTCACAGCAGAGGTTGGTTCTGCCGTGGTTGGAGAGGCGCAGTGTGGAGCAGGAGCCCTGTTTCAGGTGGTTTGCGTGGTGATCTCCAAGATTTGAAGGCTCTGCTAGGGGACCGTGGTGGGAGGAGAAGTGGGATGCTGCTCCAGAGTGCATTGGAGGAGGAAAAGGATTTTTCCTCTCCCTCCCACCCCCCTGTTTTTTACAGGAGATAATAAAAAGGCAGAATTTGTACTCGAAACAGGAATTTGGCCTGCTGTAACAGGAAGCTGCTGGTATGTATTTTTGGGAAGCCACGGAAATCGCCGGTGTTTGCGGTCCAGTTTGAAGGTTGCCTGTCCCGAGGATTGAAGAGAGCCGCTACAACAGAAAACCTCTTTCTCCCGTGTGTCTGTCCCCAGTTTTCCCAAGGATTGCTCGCGTGGCTCCTGTAGGCGCACGCTTTTGGGACTGGGTGCAGACTGCAGAGGCCTGAAAGGTCTCCAAAAAGGCGTTAGAAAAATCTGACAAAGTCAACCCGGGCTAGCTCATGAATTTCGGGTGAAATCCAGGCTATCTGCATGTGACCCTTGGAGCAAACTCTGCACGCAGCTTGATTACTGGAAGTCCTGCATCAATTCTGAAAGCAAAAGCAGAGAAGATCTGAGCTGTTTCCTGTTGTTGTTAAATCAGCTGGAGCTTTTGCACTGTTTCTTGGTGGATTTTTGCTCTCTCTTGATCCACTTCTTGCCTTGACCGACCAATATCTTCTCGAGATGGGATTTTAAACCTTCCTGAGCCTGTTAGTTACTTCCTTGCCTTCTCCTTTGTCTTGAAAAAGGACAGAGAGGAGCCCCCCGCGGCCGTGAGCTCTCAGGGTAAGTGCTGCTGTCCCGAGAGGAAGCTGCAGCAGCAGAAGGAACAAGGCGCTCCGTGGCACTCGCGCTTCTCCGCCTTCACCGCTTGCTTATCGCCTTCCCTTCCTGCCTGTCTCTCTCGAAATAGGCTGGATAAATTTCCTCCTGCTCGCCAGCAGTGAGGCAGCGGAGTTGCAGAAAATCATTTCGATCCGTTCCTGGTTCGCTTCAGATTTGTTACTGCTTTTAAATCGATTTGGCTGGGCCAGGGGATGCTCAGAGCGCCTCCCTCCACCGCTCCAGCACGATACGGGGTACGTAGTGCTGCAGAGTTCATGGCCACATCCTGGCACACACACATCTTGGTTTTGGGGCAATATTTCCTGTAGGGACTGCAGGACAGGGGTGTCTTCCTCTCTCCATCCAAGGCTGATGAGGTATGTGAGATGCCTCTGCGTTGAGTCATGCTATCACACAAGTTTATGGCCAAGAAATCTGTGGGCTTATCAGCCAGCTAACGTGTAAAAAAGAAACCTTTTTTATCAGCTAAATGCAGTACGCTGGGTAAACTCATGGGCTTTGGGTAAATTCAGAGAGAAGCAGGAGCAGCTTGGGGCAACAGGCAAAGTCTGTGTGAGCGCTGCAAGGAAACTACCTGCTGTGAGGGATGTGTGGCTCATACGTTGCTGCTGAGAGCTGCCCAGACTCATTTTTTTCCCATGAGGTCAGAGAGAGGCTGATGCAGTTTTTGGGAACCTTGGCTGGAATTAGGAAGACCTAAAATTAGGTCTCTGCTTTGGTACAGGCTGCCTCTAGGAGTGACACTTTCCATGTCCTGCCGTCGGTCTGTTTCCTAGGGGAGCGTTATCTCGTGGGGACACTGCAAAATGTGATGTGTAATTGCGTTTGGGTTGCATTAAACAATGTAAAAAATACATTAAAGATGTAATGCATTAAGGATGGTGTCCTCTTGTCATTGCAGGGTGGATGCTTGAGAGTGGAGGATAAGGTGCAAGCGTCTGGGACCGGTGGAATGGAGGCCTGATGTAGATGGAAAGATGGGTAAGGACTGTGCTTCCCTGAAGCAATTAATTCTCTGCAGCCTCCTGATTTTGATTGGGGTTACTGAGCATGACAATGGAGCAGCAGACCTTGCCAAGGCTGCCTGGCTGAATATTAGTGTTTTCTAACTTTTTTGCCTTACAGTACTGCCAAAATTGGGCAAATTCTCTTCTTACCACTGATGTGTTCTGGTGGGGCATGTTCTAGGTGGAGCCCCTTCCCAAATCTTGCGTTTCTGGACAGGGCATCTTCACTCCCTGTATTTCGTTTACCTAAGGAAGCTTCAGTTTCAAACAGAGCTTTGGGATTTTGCTTTTATAGCTGGTGACCTGGGCTGACTTGTACCAGCACCTTCTTCTGCAGGAATAAAGGAGGAAGTCACGTACCAGATGCCCTGTGATGCTGAGGGAAATTTTATTTTATTTTTTACCTCGGAGCATATTTATAGCTCTGGAGGTGCACAGTGATTGTTTGATCTAATCACTGTGCTAAAGGAAATTTGTTACTGCAGATACTGGGACTATTTGGAAGTGCTGGGCTGTTTCTGTGGGTAATCAGCTCAGCGGCATTGTCTCACATCAGATAATAAGTGCGAGTGCCCCAGCTCCTTCAGCTTTTTGTGCTGTGGGCCGTCAAATTTATCTCTTGCAGAATCACACCTTGCTTGCAGGTCTGTGCTTTGCCAACGTGCTTGCAACCTGGCACACAGCTGGGATGCTGCTGCAGGGATCGCCTGGTGTCTTCCCATCTCAGTCCTTTAGGGATGAAGGGTGCTGAATGGGCTTTGCAGGAGCCACGTGCCTTACTGAGAGCTGTGTGCTGCCAGGTTTGGGGTTCAACTAGAATTTTGTGCGTTTAGGAGCAAGACAAAGCTCTTTGCAGAATGAATGTTGCCCTCAAAACCACTTCCAAAGTGGTCTGTAAGACATTTTGCCAGCCAGTAGCAGTTCTAGCAACTGCAGGGGTTTCTGCTCATTTTCTTTATTTTTGCTCAAAAGAGAAAGCTCAGCAGGTTGAAGAAGGGTGGGTTCTGCCTTACAGAAACGTGTGTGATTAAATATAATTAATCACATGCTAATTGAGCTTGGATTGTCCACCAGAAGATTGAGTTTGGATTGTCCACTGAAAGAGGCAAGTTACAGAGAAGCCTAAATGCATCTCCTGAAATGGTTTCCTGCCCTGGTGACCCAAGAAAGGAGAAAGTCAAGAATCCTCTGAGATTTTTGCTGTTAGCTGGGCACCTCACTTTTAGATTTTCGGTATTTATACAAGTTTATCCAAAACTTCTCAGGGTTGGTTGAAATGGTGGGGAAAAATAAAAAGAGGTGGCGGAAAATGCTAGTAAATTGTGACTCTAGGCCTAATAGAAGAGCGATGAAGAATTTGGTAGTGGTTTGAATTTAAAAAATAGAAAATGCAAAGCCAGTGCCACAACTTAACTGTTTGTCTTCCCTTATGGGGAAGGGAGAATAGGAGAAGGCAGTGTTTAGCCCATCCTGGCTTTATCTATTTTTTTTTTTTTTGTCTCTCTATTAACTGGAAGAGAGATTTTGAGGTTAAAAAAAAATAATTTAAAGCTAGTTTAAAAAAAAAAAAAAAAGGGCAGAGAAAGTTCAGACCTGGTTCTTCAGTATACAGAATGACAAATTTCACTTGAAAAACCCAGATTTTTTTTTAGGGAAATTGTCACTTTGAAGATGAGAGCTACTCCTATTCAACACATTTTTTTTTTTTTTTTTAAAGGAGGAAAGTTCAGCCTTGCTCTGAGGGCTGGCAGGGAGTGAGGTGCTGGCTCCAGCCCAGTTTTCAGCAAAGAGTGCTGTGCATGTCCCCCCCTTCCCAAATGTCTCTGCCATTTCAGGGACTGCTTAGACCTGCTTAGGCTGCCTTCAGAAGGGATCGTGGGGTGGTCCTGAGCCTGGGCCCTGCCTTGGCTGTTGGGGCAAGAGAGATAAACCGATGTGTCTCTTGATCAGTGTTACAGATCTTCTGTTATTTGGTAGTCAAATGATGACTGCAACGGCTTTGAAAATTCGGCTGAATTTGGAGGGTTTATTGGTTTCACACACACACCATTTTACATGTGTTCTGGTTTCCTCTGTGTGTTGGGACAGGGGAGCATTTTCAATGGAAGAACAGGGAATTTTCAGTCATTTCCTTGATTCCCTTCTGGTAAGCCACAGAGGAGTTATGCTGAAATGATCTCAGAAGGTCTCCTCCAGGTCTGCCTTTCTTTCTAGGGTCCTTTACACACTCAGCCAGGCTGCATCACACAGTGCTTGGTGCCCAGTGCTGCAAAGCAGACCAAGACAGCCCGCAGCTTGGGGCCAGCCTCAGCAGGGCTCCTTGGCCCTGGGTTTTCTTACATGGTGCAGATATGACTGTGATCACATCACCTGAGATTTGTATCTACTCTCTTAATGCTGGCTGTGAAGGACATGGAGATCTTGCTGCAGGATATGGCTCAATTCCTGAGGGAAGTGGAACTGGGTACAGCATGGGGGCTTAGGACAGAATTATGCCGGTTTTGCTTCATGTTTTGGTTGTGGAACAGAATCACAGAATTTCTAGGTTGGAAGAGACCTCCAAGATCACCCAGTCCAACCTCTGACCTAACACTAACCAGTCCTCCACTAAACCATATCGCTCAGCTCTATATCTAAACGTCTTTTAAAGATCTCCAGGGATGGTGACTCCACCGCTTCCCTGGGCAGCCCATTCCAATGCCTCACAACCTGTTCAGTAAAGAAGCTTTTCCTAATATCCAGCCTAATTCCTGCTGGAATGACTAGACTAATACTGAAGTCATTTTTCACATGGTGGCTGGGTTGCCTCGCACCTCTTGCAGTGGCTTTCTCAGCCACAGAACAATTTCTGCAGCTCATGGTCCATTTCCATCTGCTGCACCTCCAAGAGGATCCAAATCCTTTTTGTTGATGGATCAAAATGTAGCTGAGCACCAACAAGTGCCAAGGACACTTCCAAAGCTGTCTGTGTAACGCAACCCAGGGAGAGGACCGTGCTTGATGGCAGTTAACCGCTGTGTTTAAACATAACATCACGGTAAAAATAACATTAAAAATTGTGGAAGTGGGTATAAAAGGCACCAGCGTTTTCATTGCCCAACGTTTTTTCTTTTTGTTTAAGAGTGATTTGAGTATTCTTGACTCCAGCTGTGAAATGGTATGTTTCTGACTGCAAAAACACTGGGCACTCTGATGCATGAGTCAAAGTTTAGGTCTTCAGTACTTCTCTGGAGAAAATGTAAGTTTTGTTTCAGCAGCAAGGTAATCGGAAGTGTGAGGGATGGAAGAATAATGCCTTTTTACAGTCTTGACTTGACAGAGTGGGTTTTTTTTTTTGGAGAACAAGACTGCAGGCTGGGCTGGCAAAAGGCAAGGCAGCTTGCAGCAGGAGGAGGTGGCCACTTCACACAGTCCTGGTCTGTCCATTTAATTTCAGTTCTGTGCTCTTCTGGGGCTGTCAAGACACTCAGAGGAAAAACACCAACTCTCCACACACAGACATTAATTTCTTTCACCTCTCCCATGGTTTGTGTTCCTCATCCCTCAGTTGAAGGCAATGCCTGTGCACTTTACCTGCTCTTTGTATGCTGAGAACTGCAAAAAAAATAAAAATCAAGTTAAATTGCAGCAGTTTGCCTTATTGTTAGGCACATCAGGCTTTCTAGCTGAGTTATTTTTATTTTCAAGAGGTGTCTGAGTTAAGCTCCTTCTCCCTTTCCTGGCAACATTGCACCCAGGGCTCCTGTTTTGGGTCACACCATGCACTTTGGGCAGCTGGGAGGGCAGGATCAGACCTGCATTGCTGTATTTGGGGCTCTGCAGCTATTGCTGCAGCAACAGATGAAGAGTTCACGGTTTCTGGGCTGTGACTTTGAGCACTGGAAGTAGCTGAGTTGGGAGGGAGAAAGAGGTCTTTATGAGCCTGCAAATAACCTTCAAAGGTAGCGGAGGCAGTCAGGGGAAATAACTTGCCAGCTGCATTTCTCACTGTGTAAACATTTTTCTCCTTTCAAGTGTGCTCAAGAGAGGCGCAGGTTGCGGGGAGAGGTAATATCTTTTATTAGACCAAACTGATAGAGGTGGAAAAAAACAGGCTGCCTTTTAGGTACATAAGCCCTTCTTCAGAAGCAGCAGATTTCAAGCAAAGCTGGAAAAGAAGCTGGAAAAATTGCCCCGAGTTTAATTTAATTTATGTTAATCCGTTAAAGGAAAAGGTACCTAGTGTCTGTGGAGCAGAAGGGAGGGTTGGCAAAAGAAAATCTGTGAAAGGTGGTGGTGGGTCAAGGGAGAGAAAACAGCACCTGGCACCTTTGAAGTGGCGAGGAGCTTTGTGGGCAGATGCTATGGGGTAAAATGCATCGTGCCATAAAAGCAGACAGTCCCTGAATTTTCTCTTCAATTCTCAGTGGAGCTATAAGCACGCAAACTTTTCCTAAATGTTGTTATTTTTGCTCTTTAAGGGTCAAGTCCTTGCCTGCAGGTCCCCAGAAGCCTCGTGAGACTAATATGTGAAAAGAAATGCGAGATGATAACTGCTTTGCCCAAGAGGCAGCTATTTAGCCCGGTTTATCTCAAAGCAGCTCTGTGCTTTTACAGGAAAGCCCTGAATCCTGCAGCTGGATTCCTGTCCCTGCCTCCCGTCTTCCTGAGGGCTGCAACTGGGAGCCGTCCAGCGCGGGAGTGGGTTCATGGCTAGGGAGCGTTGAGCAGCTGGAGCGGTCAAGGTTGGGTTGGGTTGGTCTTTGGTGCTCTGCAGGATAAACACTCACTCTTTCTGTGACAGAGATGTGTTTATTTAATCTTTGCTGGGTTTTAGATTGCTTTACGAGCTTCTATAGCAGGGAGCAGGGCACTCGGCTAGCGATCAGCTTGTTGTGCGAGGGCTCTTGTTCGCCCGTGTTACGGTCCCTGCTCCACAGATAAGCTTAGAGGCACTTGGAAGCAAAGTGATTTCCCCTGTTACACCTCCGTCAG